CCATTAAATCGGGTGCCACATTATCCCCCATAGTAATCCCCAATATAATGCCCTATATGATCCCCTTTAGGGAGTTTAGAATGTAGCTCATGTCAGTTCGGGACTTCCTGGTCTGGTCGAGTCCGCAGGCGAGAACATCGGCTTTCCCTAAGCCCTACACACTGAACATCGGCTTTCACCTTTGTCATCTTTGTATGAAGCTCTCCAAGCCCTCCTATTGAGGGCGCCCACAAAAACATGCAAGAGGCTATGAAAACATCGGCTTTCAGAACATGAGCAAACCACGCACCTGCCAACCCGAACCCTCTTCCCAGCCCCTGGACAAGAAACCTGTTCTATTACCGTCATTGCTCTCATTGCTATGTATATGCGTTATTCTGACTGCTTCTATTAATTGCTATGTTTGCAATCATCACTATAGATTGCTATGATCACTGTTATTGCTACAAGCACTTTTGTGAAAATACAAGTTGCTTCGCTGGACTCGAGGCTCCAAAATGATTGGGTCCAGACGGAACAAAAGCTATGAGCAATCATTGACCGAACTCACCACAGGGTCAGGAATAATTGGAATAGACTCTCCAGGCACTACACACTCTAACTCCAGATAAACGAATATCAGGACATGTTGTTAAACGTGAGGAGTGGTCCTGCTACTCATGCAAGCTTTTACCCGAGCGCGGCCATCCTACACCGTGGAACATGCTGCTGTTAAGCCCAGGGCACCGACGCATGCCAGCATGCAAATCCTGCCGTGCTTCAATTCAACAGCGCGTCGGCGCTTGAAGGTGTCCTCGGCTCCGTTTTTATGACATTACCCTAAACCCTAAACCCTAAACCCATGTTGTTCCTCCCGACTTTGGGGCCTGGATCTCGAAACTGGGTCATTAATCTTGAGGCCTAGACTTGTCTTGATTACGATTGATACAAAAAAAATCCTTCATGACTCCAAAGTACCTTATTTCCTTGAAGCTATGGTAGTACGGCAAATCAAGGTCATAAAGGAGTTTCAGCATCAACAGTATGATGATTTTCTTTCGCTTGGCAGGTCCGGAACAGCACCCCGGCAAGTCCCGTAAAACCGGATCAGGAACGCTGGATCCTAAACCCTGCTAGGAGGTTCAGGGTATTTAGTACACAAACTATGACTATACCTGGTACTTCTAACCCAATTATAACCATATTAGAGAAGGGGCCTATAACTGGGCTATGAGTCGGCTATGGCTGCAATTGTACTTAGGTCAGATCATACTGATGCTGAGCTTCTAAGTTAAAACTCGAAGCCCAAGACATGCTGTCATATGCGAGAATGGGAGGCTCATAATGAGGCTGCATCCCTTCTGTAAACCGTTTTATAAAGCGGCAGGCTCATGCATCACCCGTCTCACATCGAAGGATCCTACAGACTCTACCTGAGCTCTCATTAGTAAAGACTACAAGCGGCACTTGTACCAAGATTCAGGGCCCATTCTATTTCTAGCATGCGACTGTTGAGTTGTGGGTCTAAGCTAAACATTGCCACTAGAAGATATAAGGATCCAGACATTTCATGGGCACATACCCTAAACCAAAAAGGAAGTGTCATATGAAGCCCTAAATAATCTCAAGCCTTAGGCACAACGACTTCTCAAGGAAAACGGCCTTGACTGTGTAAGGCCCCCACCCGCTAATAGTCAATGCATGGTGAATATATTGAGGCCCTCCTATATTCTTAGTGTATCACTATTACTGGGTGGGGGCCTGGGCCGAACCCAGCCTTCTACCCCAGTGAGATAAAGGCATTCTCCTCAATTCAAGGCTTCTGGGGGGCTCCTGAATAATTTTAAAAGCAACCAAGCCCTAAACCATAGGACCGTAGAACCCTGAACACCCAGACCCCAGCCCCAAACTAACGAAGTTGGAAGACGATGGAGAAGGCTAGAAGTAGTGAAGATGAACAGAAAGAGCATCGCCAATACTGACCTTTACAACGTCAAGATCAACCACCCAAGCGCGTCAAGTACTATCAAGTAAAATCAAGTAGTCAGAGCCTTTCGAGCAAACCAATCTCAAGCACCTGTTAACCCACAAGCTCCCTCCACAACCCCTAGAATGCACCGCAATACCTCCCACCACCTGAAACCCCAAACTAGAATCTGACCCCTAAATTCCTTGACCACTGCTACATCTTGGGGATAATGGTAATATGTGGTAATACTAGCTGTACCAATGCTGGCTCACAGTAGTGGTGACTGACAGCTATGAGTTCTAAGACAAGGACGACCATCACGACAACCGTGTTCAGGATCAAATCAAACTAGAGTCGCGCCAGCTAATCTGATCTCAACAAGCAGGAAGAGCACGAAGAACGATCAAAATGAAAATGCACGTTTCTCGTAAGCCCAAAAGAACAAGATTGCCACCTTTCAGAGGACAGCAACCTTTTTCCAGATTCCAGGTCTGTTTGGGGGTCTGTAACCCAAAGCCTTTACACCCCTGTGCACCGCAACTTAAGTATCCCCATCCACCCCCTGCTTTTTCTCTGCAAAGCCCCTTGCTTACTGGCGGGTAGTAGGGAGTAGGGCCAGGTGATTACTATATAGTCCCTATGTAGTAAATTCCCTTATTCCCTACTAGCCCCTAGTAAGCTTATGACAATGCTACCTAAGGCAGCCGAGGGTCCACATCTCCATCTGCAGATAGCCCGAGCGGGTCCCAAAATCCCACAGGAGCCTGCACCTGAAAAGCACGTTTCTGGTGGATGAGCCCCTGAATCATGATTAATTTAGGGGCAATACTGGGGTCTTTTTATAGGCATGATGGAAAAAATGGAAGCTACTATTTAGGGTTTAGGGAGACCCCTGACTAAGACTAATAAATCCCCTCCTTTTATGAGCCTGAACATGAAGATCCCTATTACAACCCCTAGTAACGGGAGTGAGCTTATTATTCAGAAATATATTAATTAGCAAGGACTCCATTGGTTTGGGATGTTTTTCATTCTTGCGCCAAGTAAAATTGTATTTTTCTTCCGGTCATACTCTACATCGGCGGACGCTCTCAGGGCTCTTTATACCCTTAGGTTTCTGTGGGTGCAGGGCTTCTCAAAGTAGGGGCACCCGGAAAAAGCGTACCAGGGGAGCATAAATTGGACGGGAACCCGTTAGGAACTGTAGTCAAATTTGGGTCAATCCCCCACGTAGTAATGGGTACCACAAAAAACTATTGTAAGTATTTTAAAGCCCTATTACTCCATACTTAGGGGCTATTACTGTAGACGGGATTGACAAATAGTCAAATTTATTGCCCGAAAAAACCATATGGAGCTCCCTCATGATTCTCACGTGACCATTCGGCGCCCCCGAACTCCCTTACCTCAACCCCCTTACTTCGTTGAACCCGAGACCCCAAGAGAGCTTGAGCGGGGGCTTATAGGTCTAACGCTCCCTTAACTAAGCCTAACCCTTAACAACCCTTAGCCCTAAACACTTAACTCGAGACCGCGAAACCCCAAAACCCTAGACCCTAAACCCTAAATCCTAAACCCCGCTTCGACCGGACGCTTTGCCGCGGTTCCACAAAGAGTAAGCATGCGGCAAGTACTGAAAACCCTGTATTTTACAGTGTTTTTTGGGTTTCTATACCTGAGAAATGGAGGCTAT